TTTTTGATAACTCCAGATTATACATTTTACTTTTTGTTGTTAAGTCAAATATGTAGCTGTGCTGTTCAATCACCAGGGAACAGACTATTTGAAATTGTTTACTTTTCTTTTGTCAGTGCTCCAAACCTGTTGCTGCAGTGTTCTTAGTTAATAAGCAATGTTGAGGATGCAAGTCTATACAGTTATGTATGTCCATACAAATCTATGTTTTTAGCTGGGCACTGGTGGCTCACGCCTGTAATCCTAGCTACTCAGGAGGCTGATATCTGAGGATCAGGGTTCAAAGCCAGCCCAGGCAGGAAAGACTGTGAGACTCCTGTCTCCAAAAAACCACCAGAAAACCGGAAGTGGCGCTGTAGCTCAAGTGGTAGAGCGCTTGCCTTGAGCTGAAGAGCTGAGGGATAGCACCCAGGCTCAGAGTTCAAGCCCCATAGACCCCCCCCAAAAAAAATCTATGTTTTCCTTTGTGTGCTCCCAAGGATTTCATCTTTTGTAAGGATATTACTGCTAATTCAGTGGTAGTGTGGTTACTTTCTATTGGACTTCAGCTTTCTTTCAATCCACTGACATGGGCAACAATGCAAGAGCAAATCAGCTAGCAAGGGTTTATCTGGGAATTGATTTCAACATGTTTATTAGGTAGTTCTAAATTAATCCTTTTCTTAGGCATGTAGTTGCCAAGTCTATGCATTAAGCATTAGAAGTGGTATTAGTGAGATATACAGTAATTCTTCCCTATCTAAAGTTTTGTTTTCCACGGTTTTAATTATGTAGGGTTAATTATTCTGCCTGGGACTTGAATTATTCTTTTGTCCAGTGAATCTATGTTGTATATACTACCCACTATTAATCACTTGGTAGCCCTCTCATTTATCAGATTGATGGTTGTGGTATTGCAGTGCTTGGCTGAGTAACATTTATTTTACTCAACAAAGAACAGTAATGTTGAGAGTCTAGATACCCCAAAGAGAAGCTTTAAGGTGTTCCTTAAAAACATAAAAAGTACAACAGATATTTTGAAAGGTAATGGTTATATAACTTTAATTATAGTATATTGTTATGCTTGTTTTTACTTTTGTTTTTTCATTTTTCAACTCTACCTAATTTCCAAATTAAAATTTATCACAGTCATGAATAAGAAAAATGATGGCAATAGAGTTTGATCCTATTTATAGTTTTGGAAAGCCACTAGAGGTCTTAGAATGTACAAAATGTGTGTGTGTGTGTGTGTGTGTGTGTGTGCCTTATAATAAAATTGTTTTGAGAAGTCCATAAAATTCATCTAAAACTGAGTTTTTCTTTTTAATCTTGTGCCTCAAAATGCTAATAGCTGAAGAATGTTGCTGCCTCTCTAGTCAGTCACAGGATTTTGTTAAAGATACATTTTTAACTAAGGCAGGTAAGGAAAAAACATTGAAGAGTATATACCCTGAATACTTCCTTTTTACGCTGTACTGTTCTAGGTATTATACTCTAGGAAGAAAGCCTCATTATTACTTTTATGTAGATAAGACACATTCTTTTTCTAAAAGTCACAGTTTCAAGAAGATTCAGGATTTATATCCACATAATTCAGCACAACATTTTCTCTTCTTTCCACTGCAGCATGTTTCTTTATTAAGTCTCTCTGAGAGGAAATAATGCAAAATCTACTGTCTGGATTAATTACTATCAGAATCTGGAGCTACTTTTCTTTGTTTCCTTTTTTTTTTTGTGGGCTATGGGGCTTGAACTCAGGGCCTGGGAGCTGTTTCTGAGCTCTTTTGCTCAAGGCTAGCACTCTACCACTTGAGCCACAGCTCCACTTCTGGTTTTGAGGTAGTCAGTTGGAAATAAGAGTCTCCTAGCCTTTCCTGCCATGAAAGGGCTGACTTTGAACCACAATCCGCAGATCTCAGCCTCCTGAGTAATTACTCAGGAGCGACTTTTTTTAATGAATAAGAATGAAGTAGCTGGGTAGCATGCCCTCAAACTGAGTCATCTCTCATAAGGCCTGGTAAAGAATATGGTCATAGAAGTAATAAAACCTCAGCATCATCAGAGTTTTAGTCTTGAATCAGTGTGAGGTATAGACAAATATAGCCTATTCTTCTTTCTGAGCCAGAATAAATTCTGTATTTCCCAGCTCTATTGGTGCCTTCCTTGTTTCCTAGAAATAGTAATAGACTTACTTTTGAAAACATATACTGTATTAAAAGAATGAAAAAAATAAATGTAAAGGAATAGAAAACATCACCTACTAGGATGATGGAATTTATGTTCCACCCAATAGAATGGGAAGTTTTTTCATATCTAATCTGGTTTGTTGAACTGAGAAAGATTCTCAACATGGGTCAAGCTCACCAGGAAAGAGGTATGGTACAAATGAATGTTATCTGTCATAGATATAAGATGGAGAGGCAGTAGTGTGTGCCATATGTTTGTCATCTTTATTTTAGTTTTTCCTCCCTTTCTTTTCTATTAAATTTGTGAGTTTGGTCAAATGATTCAGTAATCAAAGGTATTTATATCCAAATGAGGATAATGGTACATTATCTAAAAACAACAGCTTATTTCTGAGTTTAAAGTTCTATCTTTCAAATGGATATAATAATTTATAAAATAATTCTTCTCTACGTCAGAGATAAACAATATGCTAATACTTCTTTGCATATCTGAAAAATACTGTTGAAATCTGTTAAGTGGCTAATTAGAGCCGATGGTCTTTGGTGGAGCCAGTGAAAATTTAGTGTAGGGCTGTACTCTAAATGTTTATGCAGATGTTGAGTCTTCAGGAAATAACACTGTGAGAAAACACAGTATTAAAACCTCATCACAGCCTTGATGGAAAAGAAAAAGAGATGATGTCTCCTCTTAGGGAAGTGTTCAATGAAGAATATTTCTCACTACTTCTAATGCCCATGCTCCATGCAAGAATTAGAAAATAGGCTCAAAACTGCTTATCACAGATGTATATCTTACCTGGGATCACAGAGAAATTTGGTTTTCTCTCCTTCTTCTCTCCAGATAAGCCATTCTCGAAAAGAAGGATGAACAAACATACGAGTCATGTCTCTGCGCTTGATTAGGAACATAGATAGGTTCTCCATTCTCTGTTGAAAATCTTCCCATTCTAGTGTGCCCTCAATGCTACCAGCATTGATGGCCTGAAAGATATGCTCATCAGTCAGTGGGTGGAGAGAGGCCACTGCCACATTCAGGAGAGGCATCACCCGGTCAAAGGAAGACTGGGTTGGGAACTTCATATTGCATTGGAGTAAATAAACCTCTGAGAGTGAAACAGGAACTACTTTGTAGCTAGAACTCTTTAATACTAGATAACCTTTCTCTATGAGGTCAAATGTGAGTTTCAGGTATAGATAGGACCCTTGACTGAGAGTCTTGAGATGAGAACTGAGTTTGCCAAATGTAGTATTGTCCATTTTGCCATTAAGTGAAATGTTATTCTGGATCTCTGAGCTGCTGTGTATCCGGTGCAAGATGTAAGCCTGCAGGTCCTGGTCTATGGCTTCATTCTCTTCTAGTCGATCCAAAAATATCCTATGGAAAGGCAGCAACTTGGTAATTTCCTAAAACAGATGAAGAGAGAGAGAAAGACAGAAAGACCTTCAGTTTCCCCTAACTCTTGTGATAAACTATTAGGTCCACAAATTTACTCTAAACTTTTGAGTGGCCAAAGAAAAGAAGATCTAGTATTAGTATCCATAGGTTAAAACAAATTAGTTGCATAGAAAGAACACTAATTTTCCTGATATTGAGATTTTTTTTAAAGGTTATTTTTTAGGGGTCTTTGAATGGGTACTCTAGGAGTGATTTTATGGTTAGTATTCTAAACAACCCTCCTAAAACAAATAGAAAATGAAGTGCTACAAAAATCAATGGTCATAATTTTTCTCAGTGCAAGTCATGGCATGATGCCGAAGTACAATTCGGTAAGAGAAACGTATAAAGTTTCAAAGAATGCCATGTAAAACATGGATTTTAATTTAAAAAAATGAAACAAAATGTGCCTTTCTAACCCTTCTACTAAAATGATTGACTACATTTATCAGGCCTTCTGGAATTGCCTGAGCTAAAAGCTTGGTACTTTCATCACCTGCTTGGAAATTATATTGGGGGAGGGAAATAAGGTGACTCTTACGCACTAAGATTCCATTTCTTTCAAATCTACTTAAAGACTTTGCTCCTGTTAGTACTCATTCTCTCTTCTGTATCTTCTTTTTAGCAGATCACATACACACTACCATATTCATTGCAGCTACTACTCTAATTCTGTTCTCTTGTCTATTAACATTACAGAAAGTTTTCTCTCTCTGCTATTGTCCCCTCCTATTTTCCTTCCTTCCTTCCTTCCGTTCTTCCGTCCTCCCTCCCTCTCTTCCTTTCTCTCTCTGCTGGTTCTGGGGGCTGTCTCTGAGTTTTGTTTTTCTTTCTTTTTGCTCAAGGCTAATACTCTATCACTTGAGTGACAGCTCTATGTATGGATTATTTTGGTAGTAAACTGGCAATAAGAATCTCATGGACTTCTCTGCTCAGGCTGGCTTTGAACTGCTATCTTCAGATCTTAGCTTCCTGAGTAGCTAAGATTACAGGCATGAGCCATCAGTATCTCTGACTCTTCCTGCTTTCTAACCAGACTTCAGTACTACCACTTCACTAAAATGGTTCTTCTCAAGAGTATTAATAATTCTAACTTTGCCAAATCTAATAATCACTTTCAGTTTTCATTTTCTTCAATCTTTTATTAATGTGACACAGCTGACTATACCTTTCTGCAAGTTTGTATTAAGTCACTGCAAAAGTTTGCGTCCGGGCTGGGAAGGTGGCTCAGTGGTAGAGCACTTGCCTTGCATGCTCAAGGCCCTGGGTTTGATTCCTCAGCACCACATACGCAAAAAGAAAAAAAAAAGCTGGAAGTGGCGCTGTGGCTCAAGTGGTAGAGCGCTAGCCTTGAGCTGAAGAGCTGAGGGACAGTGCCCAGGCCCAGAGTTCAGGCCCCACGACCGGACCCAAAAAAAAAAAAAGTTTGAGTCCATTGCATGTTCCTCTCAGCAGACTGCCTGCCTCTTCTGGATTCTCTCATTTCCTAGCCCACTGAGGGCTCAACTTTCCAGCTTTTGGCTTTTGTAGGCACTCTTTATATGCTGAAATAGTTTATTTAGGCTCAGGATCTAAATACCTACCCATATGTAGGTGATACCTAACTTTATGGTGCCAGGTTATTTTCCCTGAATTCCCACTTATATCTGTCAATTCAACTGTTTTACCTGGATGTTTCAGAGATAATATGAACTAGTGGATTCTGTTCCAGACCACAAAACCTTTCACATGTCAAGAAATGGCATTACTAGTGACCCTACCACCAAATCATCAGTGATACCTGTGATCTTTTCCTCAAGACAGCAGTTGCTTATGTGCTCATCCAAATCCCAGGATTTATTCTTGACTCTCTTTCTCTTATTATGTCCATATTTAGTCCACCATCAGTCTTTCTTTTTTAAAAAATGTTTTGTTTTCTGAGACAAGTTCTCAATATGTAGCCCAGGTTGGCCTCAAACTTATGATTCTCTTGCCTTAGCTTCCTCAGTGCTGAGATTACAGGTACGTATCACCACACTTGCCTCATCAAGTCCTTTTGACTTTTCTTCACAATATATTCCAAATATGAATACCAGTTCACAATGGTGTACATCATTATCACTCTAGACTAAGACACCATCACTTTTCACATGTATATCTGCTTTTAATATTGATTTTCTATATTTTATTATACAGAGAGCCAGCAGAGATCTTCAGAATACTTAATACTACTTATAATTTCAGTATATAATTAATGTTTTATTTATTTTTTTTGCTCTTTACTAGAATATAAACTTAATGAAGGCTGGGACTGTGTATCCTGTTCACTTGAATTTCCAGCCTCTAGAACTGTGTCTGACATACTCAAATGTCTGTGGAAATAATGAAAAATATGACTTTGTAAAGCAAATAAAATTTGAAAATTCTTGATTGAAGTAAATGAAGTAACTGAAAAGTTACTGCAAGTTTCTATCCATGAAGACACTGAAATTTGGACTTTATAGATGAATATGCACAGAGTTTTTTCTGTTCTTTGGCAAAGATAAAAAAATTAAGTTATCTGCCTTACTCAGACATACTGAAAATTTCTTCTGCAAATGTACGATATTGTATGAAAATATATGAGGAAAATAGTGCCCGAGTATACATTTGGTAAAAAAATAGTCAGAGATTGTAGCTGGGTAGTGTAGCATATGCCTATAATCCCAGCACTTGAAAGCTGAGGCCAGCCTGGTCTACATAATGAGACCCTCTGTCAAAAGAAAAAAAATCGATTGTATTCACAGAGGTTTCTTCTTTTTATCCTTTATCTTGGATAATTAAGATGCTGGCCAATATTGATAGGTTACAGAGTTTTTATAGGATGCATTTATGTTGATCTGTATTCTTTAATTCAAATTACTTTAAGATTAATAATATCTGTAAGGGAATGGTAGAGTTAGAAATAGAGTTTTTGGTCACAGAAGGTAATAAACCCAATTGGTCAACACATAGGGATAACACAAAAGCTTAGGAGAAGGAAAACAAAGTGACTTTCTGCAAGACTTTCCCATATATTAGCAATTATCACAAGTGGGTTGCATCAAACTAAAAAAGAGATTGAGAGCACTGCTGTAAACCACATGGGACCATATCAAGAATGGGAGATACCAATGCAGTTAAAATGAGAATGACAGGAAGGGGAATCATTTATCTTTATCCCATATATTTTTTATAGGTGCAGTCCTATATTCCTGATCCTCCTTCTGGGCCATTAAGTGATCAGTGAGCAAGCAGGGGAAATAATTAAAAAGACAAAACAAACCAAGACCTTAATTTCCTAGTTGCAATAAATGTAATCTAAAGACTTAGTTCTGTCATTATTATTTGAAGAGGGCATATTCAAAAGCAAGTCTACCTTCACTGTACAGAAAAATTGTCCAGGTAAAAGCAGAAGGAAGAGCCAGAAAAATCTCTCACTCATAGTCTGAAGTGGATTTTTCCACAACATTAAATTACTTAAGAAAACGTAAAGTGAAAGTCAAAATTGCTTAGAATTTTCTTTGCACAACTGTCTTCAGATCTAGAAAGCAGAATTTCTTTTCATATTCTTTTTTTTTTTCTTTTTAAAGATAGGGGTTTTCTATGTAGTTCAGACTGGCTTTGAACTCACAATTCTCTTGTTTTTGTTTCCTAAGTGCTAAGATTACAGCACATACCATCTAGCTTTTTCATGCTATTTTGAGGAACATTTTACCAAACTTTATCTAGAACAATAGGAATAGGAATTTGAGAAACATATATACAAAGAATGCTTTTCTAGATCAGATCTCTTAGACTTTTAGGGGCTTATTCCTGCTAATGCTCTAGGATAGAGTAAAGGTTCAGTCATTGTTACAGACACTGTTAGAATGTTTTCAGTTTATGTCTTTTCTAAGGCAAATAGCTTACAGTTCAAAGGCAAACGTACACATACCTGTAAACTTGTCCTAACTGTTACAATTAGTTTGAGCCAAGAAGGAAATTTTCCTATCATTTTACTCAGAAATGATACAATTGTATCCCCATAATCCGGTTTGTGAAATTCTGCTTCATTTAATCCATCAATTAAAATGATGAAATCTTCATCTGGGATTTTTCTCTCTGTGACAGAAAGAACCAAATTACTTTATGATTACCAAGTAGACAGTGGGTTCTTACCAGGTCTTTGATCACGTATATATCTTGAAAAAAGCATTTAAAAAGGTTTCTCATTAGGCCTTAAATACTCAGAGTACACAGCTTATTATTAAGACATGAAACTTCATAATAATTCATTTACTGACTTAGTTTGCTTTTTTCCCCACTAAAGAGGGAAGCTTTTGTCATATACATGAGTACATATATCATCATTTTTAGAATCCCCATTTTATCCACAGTGAGAGAGAACTAGTGTTGTGAGAACTGGCACACAGAAACTAATTTTTTCAGTTGGCTCAAGTGGTAGAGTACCAGCATGCCACGCCCAATGCCCGGAGTTCAAGCCAAGTACTGCAAAAAAAAAACAAACAAACAAACAAAAAAAACCAAACAAATAAAAAACAACCCCCCCAACCCAAACTCAAAGCCTACAGCAAAACAAAACCCCAAACCAAAAGAAATTCATTTTTTCCTGACACATTGAAATCTAAATAAAATGCATTTCTTTTCTTTATTAGATAGCAACAAAGGGAATAGTATCTATTTTGGGGGAATGTCTCAGAAATAGTTGGAACTTGTAGTCAAAAGTAGTATATAGTACTAGATGTGAATATATACTGGGCATCTTCCAAGAGGAGGAGTCATTGGAAGAGACATATCAGCTGTTTGTATCCAGTTCCCTCCTGGACTCTACAGATCCTCAATTGAATAATGTTTAGTTTATCTTGAGGCTAGGCTGAAGAAGGAATCTAAATGGATTTTAGTCTTCCACTCTTAGCAAATGCTTATCAGTTCTTGAACAACCTTCAACAATTTAGACTAAAAATCCCCAGACTAAATGAACATTTTTAATATAAATGAATTATACAAATAAGTTATTAGTATTTAGTAGGACTTAAAAGGTTTGGAAGAGAGGAAGCATAAGGAAGGTAAGAAGTTCTTGTATGTTTGACAAAAAACTGGTTTCACTGAGAAGGAAATGAAGTTGGGTTCAAAATAAGGAGGTTTGAGAACTTCTGTATAACATTAGTTCTTTTTACCTTTAAGAGTCAAAAGCAATCAAATTATTCATGTCATTTTGGTTTTACAGTTCAACACATAGCACAAATATTTTGTAATGGTTAATAAACTTTTATATTTTCCCTTCTTAAAACACAAGCTTTCTATGAAGGAATTAACTTTAACATCTCAAATTATGAAGAGTTTTTACTATTATTTTCATGTGGCAATGTCTCAAGAAAAGAAGCCAACTATGGCTTCCAGTTCAATCTTTTTATAATGATCACTAAAATGGGACTAACTGGAATTTACCCCAAAAAACTAGGGGCTATCATGTTCTTGGATTTGAGGGCTCTCATGCATAATTATCGTTAATTTCTTTTTCTAATTTTTTTGTCAGTCATGTTTGAACTCTGGGCCTGGGCGCTGTCCCTCAGCCCTTCAGCTCAAGGCTACCACTTGAGCCACAGCACCACTTCTGGTTTTCTGAGTGGTTTATTAGACATAGTAGTCTCTTGGGTTTTTCTGCCCTGGCTGGCAGAACTGGGATCCTCAGATCTCAGCCTCCTGAATAGCTAGGATTGCAGGCATGAGACACTGGTACCTGGCTATTGTCTCTAATTTCTATAGAGAAATTTTCTAATTGCATTTTCTAATTGCTAAGTATCAGTCCCTATCCCACCCAATGATGTGCTAGAGTCGAGTCCTAGTTCAAGAAACTCATTGCCATTATATTATTATGAATTATTATTATTATTGTTGTTGTTGTTGGTTGTGGGGCTTGAACTCAGGGACTGGTTTCTATCCCTGAGTTCTTTCATTTAAGGTTAGTGCCCTACCACTTTGTGCCACAACTCCACTTCTGGTTTTTGAGTGGTTAATTGGAGATAAGAGTCTCCTGGCTGGCTGGCTTTGAACTGTGATTCTCCGATCTCAGCCTGCTGAGTAGCTAGGATTACAGGTGTGAGCCACTGGTACCTGGCCCTGCCACACTTTTGAGTTAGTTTGTAAATAACTGGTAACTTGAAACTGGCTAGGTTGGGAATATTTTCACATTAGAAGCTGGTAAAGGTTAACATCAGCCTTCATCCTCCTTCATCTACTAAAAGTTCATAGCACACCACTGTCTTCACCCTTCAAATGTATCTCTTTTAACTTCACCTGGTTTCTTCTTAAGAAAGCTATCACAAATCATGAGTAACTGTATCAATCCTTTTTTATTTTTGAAAGTGGTTATTAGTCCCCCTAGTCAAGACAGTGACATTCTTTTAAATCTTGTCTTTTTTCCCTTTTTCTTTTGATTCTTCTCCTTTGAAGGAATTACTTACAAGTCATCTATGAATGAGATGTCAACAAATATTTCATCTGTTAAGAAGTGAAAATGGCATGCATACCTAAGAATACTATTATTTTTTGTAGGATTCAGAATAATAAAGACTTTCCTAATGGTACCAATATAAAACAATGAAAACACTTACTGCAAATTTCATTTGGTAAATAAGGTTTCTCTATTTAAGAGAAGAAATCTTAATAAGGTTTAGAATTTGCCATTCAAATACAATAATAAAATCCTAAATTCTTATACATATATAACAATGTGTTAAATTCTACAACTGAGATTCAGAAAATAAGGTAGCATTGAAGCTGATCCTTGAAAGCTGGGTACAATTATGAAAGACACAGATCTGAGGAAAATGCATATTAAGATGGGGAGGGCTGGGAATATGGCTTAGTGGTAGAGTGCTTGTCTAGCATGCATGAAGCCCTGGGTTTGATTCCTCAGTACAACATACACAGAAAAAATCCTAAAGTGGCCTTGTGGCTCAAGTGGTAGAGTGCTAGCCTTGAGCAAAAGAACTCAGGGACAGTGCCCAGGTCCTGAGTTCAAGCCCCAGGACTGGCAAAAAAAAAAAAAGATGGGGAAACAGTGAGTAAATATATAGAGGCAGGAAAATGTAGGGAATGTTTAAGGACTATTGAATACTTAGATTTACATATAAATGCAGGATCATAAGGATAAAATGAGTAATAAAGTTGTAAAGCAGATTGGTTTAAGCACCTTGATTAAGGATCTGAGTTAACTTAGTAGACAACAGAGAATCACTGATTTCAAAATTAGGAAGTTAAGTGATTAGAACAATACTTTAATACAGCTTTATCTGGAACCAATACATAAAATCTGGAAGACTGGAGAGACTGAATCAGAACTTTCCTACAAGGTATACCATGAATAAGTTAGAAGTAGACTTCAAAATGAATCTCTTAGTCTAGTTAAAGCTATTTGAGAGACTAGAGTGAGAGGATCACATGATCCTAGGAATTTGAGATCAGCTCGGGCAACATAGTAAGACCAAGTTAAAAAAAAGTCCAACCCTTGACCCATTGCAACAATGAGATGTACAAGATGCTATGTCGAAGACAAACTTTACAATTTAGGGGGAGGTGTAGTTGTGGAGATGGGAGGGAAGGAATGGTAGGGGAAAAACAAAGGAGGAGGCAACAATGTTTGATAAGAAATGTACTCATTAACTTGCTCATGTAATTGTAACCCCTCTGTACAGTATTTTCACAATAAAAAACTTATTAAAAAATCCAACTTTTTGGCACTCCAGCCAGGAGAAATTATAAACTTTTATCCCAGCAACCTATACAAATTTATATATATTTTAAGTTATATAATTTAAATTTGTATATATAATTTTATATAAGAGATAATACATAATATAGTATATTATATATTATATAATTTTGAATTTATATAACTTAAAGTTTATATAATTTTTAATGTGTGTTATAATGTGAAAGAAGAATTAAACCAAAGAACCAGGGAAGACCAGGAAGGAGTAGTATGTTATGAGAAGCTGAACAGTTCTTGGGGTAATAATGGTATAAACAAATTTGAGACAAATATATGTGAAAAGTATTATTAAGCAGATTAACAGGATTTAAAAGATTGAGAGAATGTGTGCTTAAAAATATATGTGGAGAAATCCCAAAGTTTGGAAAATTCTAGTGTATGGAAGAGGTAATCGGTAGTAAAAGTCAAGACAGAGTCATTACAGTTGAGAAGAAAGAAAAATATAAAAATATCAAAGTTGAAATAAATGAATATGATAGCCAGGAGATTAGAAAATATAAACACTTAATTTCCTTTTTTTTGGTGGTGGTACTGGAGTTTGAACTCAGAGCTTTGTTTGTTAGGAAGCTACACAACCACTTCAACCATACCTGTAGCCCTAACACTGATTTTGTTTTGTTTTGAATGAACAATATTGTTTTGGAATTCTGTGATTACTGAAATCCTTATTTTTGGCTTCTAGGATAGAAACAATATTAAGAGCATAGGGAAACCAGGAGCCAATGGCTCACGTCTGTAATACTAGCTACTCAGGAGGCTCAGATCTGAGGACTGCAGTTTGAAGCCAGCCCTGGCAGGAAAGTCTAGGAGACTTCTTATCTTCAATTAACCACCAGAAAATTGGAAGTGAAGCTGTTGCTCAAAGTGGTAGAGCACTAGCCTTAAGTGAAAGAACTCAGACCCTGAGTTCAAGCCCCATGACAATAATTAATTAATTAATTAATTAAAAAAAGAGCATAGGGAAAATAGATTTATGAAGGAGTTGGCTGGACTTAGGCCACAACTAACACTAGAGCTGAAGAGGAAAGAGGAGGAAAAGGCTTGAATATGAGTGGGAAACATATTCCAATTCTTTAGCTTTTAAAAAATAGATTTCCTAATACAATTTATGTAGCATAAAATATCCTTAGGTTTTTTTTTTTTGTTTTTTCGTCAGTTGTGGAGCTTGAACTCAGGGCCTGGGCACTGTCGCTGAGCTTCTTTGTGCTCAAGGTTAGCCCCCTGCCACTTGAACCAAAGCACCACTTCCTGTTTTTGAGTGGTTAACTGGAGACAAAGAGTCTCACAAGTACTTTTATACTGGGGCTGGCTTCGAACGCTGATACTCAGATCTCAGCCTCCTGAGTAGCTAAGATTACAGATGTGAGCCACTGGTACCCAGCTGCCTTATGCCTTTTAAGTTGCCTTGAAGGGAAATAATTAAGTGATTTCTACCATCAATATAGTGCTTTCCAATCACAAGTGGTTTACATCAACTGATGGGGTAATACAAAAATACTACACAAAAACTAGGGAGTTTCTAACTACAGAAACTGCAACACCTGGGGCTGGGAAGGTGGCTCAGTGGTAGAACGCTTGCCTTGCGTGCATGAGGCCCTGGGTTCGATTGATTCCTCATCACCATATAAGCAAAAAGAAAAAAAGCCGGAAGTGGCGCTGTAGCTCAAGCTCAAGCTCAAGGCGCTAGCCTTGAGCTGAAGAGCTGAGGGACAGCACCCAGGCCCAGAGTTCAGGCCTCACGACCGGACCCAAAAAACAAAAACAAACAAAAAAAACTGCAACACCTGATTGGAGCTACAATATACTTGAACTCCACAGAGAAGACTGGAGGCTCTTTTATCTTTAGTATAAGAAAAAGGAGCCAGGTGTGAGGAGTCAGGCTGACAACCCAAATTCCAACTGTATGGGAGATGAAAATGGGAGGATCTCAGTTTGCGGCCAACCTGGGCAAAAGACCTCATCTAAACTTACAAGGTAGGTGTGATGGCCTACATTTGTAATCTAGCTACTAACATCCGTTAGTAGGAGGACAGGACACTGAGGCTTTGTCCTGGACAAAAAAACCCTGAGACCCAGTCTAAAAACAACTTAAATAATAAAAAGGACTCAGAATATGGCCCAAGTGGAAGAGCACTTGCCTAGCAAACACAGGTCTTGAGTGTAAATCCTCATAGCAGAAAGAAAAAAAAAGATAAGGAATTACCCTTGGATATCAAAATGAGAATTTTCATAAAGGAGGAAGGAGCAGCTGGTGAAGAAATCTGTTTGTTTTCAAGTTAAAAATGTATTTTGCTCTGCTGCCTAGGCTGGCCTCAAACTCTGGACTCAAGCAATCCTTCTGTCCAGTTTCTAGGTGTTGAGATTTTAAGTACACATCACTACACTTCTTACAAGTAAAATCATTTATCTGTTAACAGTATCTGTGAACTGACATCAGCTTTTAGTTCTGGCTATGTGAAAAAAATTATTTCTAAAGCACAATCCAGGTGACTGGGGCTCTTTTCATTTTCTTTGGAGCTCATCTGTACCTTTGTGGAGATTCTCCAGGGGCTCCAGGACTCCTCTTCGGAAGGAGGCCATGGGGTCTTGAACACAGGACCGAAGGCTCAGCATGCTCTGCAGATGAGGCTCTCGTAGAAGTTGCTCCCGATAAGCAGTCAGTTGAGGTGAGCGGCAGAGCAAAGCAGCAACATTGTGGACAAATTCTGGGACTAGGCAGGTGTAGGCATTATCTGCTTGGCAATAATGATAGGCAACCACCTAAAAAAGAAAGATAAGGCGGGCTTATCAGCATACACAATAGATGTGGTCATTTTGCAATAATTTTCTAACAATATCTTTTGCTTCTCCATTTCCTCAACCATTTCAAGTAAAATTAAAGCTGCTAGTACAACTATCTGATTTATGTAAGATCAGAAGTTAGATACAATATTTGTTTATATATATGTTATATACATATTCTCTTTCTGAACTACAATAGGAAGCAATATTGAAAGTGAAGATGTACATTATTGTACAATGTGAAAATGCTAAAATTTATTCAGCACAGAGTACTACTATACATGAGAGTCTTATCTTGTAACAAAGTAATAGGAATAAAATAATTGGAGAAAGAGCATGTTAGTCTCAACAAATACATGTTTCATTTCCACTGGTGTTTTTAAACCACAGCTGTGTTATAAATGAAGTCTTATAAAGACATAGTAAGTTAAAAAAATGATCACATATTTTCCGAGACCCTTCACAAAGAGCAAGTACCAGAATTAGATGAAAGAAGGAAAAGCTTAAAGAATTTAAATTCATGAATCTTAATAACATTTAGGGTTTGGACTGTCTGGCAAGAACCTAGAGTTTTAGGCAATGATTTCATCTTTGAATATACACAAAGTTTATTCCTTATCTCCTGTCTTCTAGTTGTTCTCTTTGCCTTGAATATCTCTATCTCAAATACACAATATACATATATGAGCACCTATAAACGTGTTTGTGTAGGCTATCCCTAGACAAAAAACATGACACCCTATCTGAAAAATAACTTATGTAATATTTATTTAATATTTTTAATTTTTTTCTGAAACAGGTTCTTGCTGTAGTCAATGCTATCCTGGACCTTACTTCTAATTCAGCCTCCTGAATGCTGAGCTTATAGTCATGAATCAATATGCTCAGCTATACTACTTTTCTGGTTCATTACTACTCAGAAAAATGATGAGAATACATAGAAAATATGACATTAGCAGGAGAGATTCAGCACCAGTATCAGTTGATATCACCATTATCATCATCACATCATCTCTATACTCCTCCCCCTTCTCACTCATCATCACCAACATGGAAGTTTACTTTTTTTTAGCTACTAGCTTTGTACCTATAGGAAACAGACCTGTCCCAATGTTAGCCATGGGTTTATTAATGAGACTCAGTTTTTTTTGTAAGGTCTTAGACAACAGTCACCTGTTCAAGAGTCCTGCTTTGAAAATACCCCACTAATATGGTCATCCTACCTTTTTAACATATGCTAGAAATGCCATTTTTTAAAAAACAACTAAAAATCTCCATTCTTTTCTTTGACTAGATCAATCATTGCTTCATTATCTACCTTAAAGATAATATAAGAAACCCAAAGAGAAACTTTACCAGTAATTGATCTGTACTTTCACTGAACACTGAGGATCATTAGTTTTGTCCATATATATACATATATATATATATATATGTTTCCACTTGATAAAAAGTATATAGTATGTATATAACTTTTGACCTTTTCTGCTTGTCCTAAACTTATACTAAAAGGTCCAAAAGCTATGTATATATGACCATATAAGATGATGTTAAGTGAAATGAACACCACAATAGGGATACAATTTTTTTTCCTTTATGCTATTGTTTTTAATGTATTTATAACGTACTTTGTGATTTTTTTTTGTTTCTTTGGTATGTTCCTCCCCCACGGTATAACCCCTGTTTTCACTGTTTTTGATTTTGGTGCCCTGCATCTTGTATATACATTTTTCTAATTTGGAGAGGGGAAGGAAAAAAACAAAATGTTTAAATAGGGATACAGGTTGACCCACTGCAACAATGAGATGTACAAGATACTATGTTAAAAACGAACTTTACAACTTGGGCAGGGGTGGGGGATTCTGGAGGGTTGAGTAGTTGGGGAGGTGGAGAAGGAAGGGATGGTAGGGGAAAAACAAAGGAGGAGGCATCAATGCTCAACAGGAAATGTACTCATTACCTTACTCATGTAACTGTAATCCCTCTGTACAGTATTTTTACAATAAAAATGTATTAAAATAGTATATAGTAAACCTCTGAACCAATATGAAATTTCATTATATTTTACTTCAATTGATTTCACAGGTTAAGGCCAAGCATAGTTTAGAAAATCTGCTGTAATCTGCCCTTTACGTACAGTAATGGCACATCATTTTAAAGATAAAAATTCTGAAATTTTAGAAAAAGGATGCTTTTACTGAATTCATTAAAAGTCATATGTGTACTTGGCTGAGTGAGGTTTCATTTAACAAAGGTCAATATTCAAAATGAGCTTTCTGTGACTGCTTCTCCTTAAAGTATTTATCCAAACATAAAGTCTTAATTACTTCACAGAATTTGGGTAGAAAAACCACTCATCTTCCTGAGATTTGCAATGTGGCACCCAAATTGGTTACTAAGTAGACATTTCAAAATAGCTATGTAGAATATGTATGTACATAAAATTTTCAAACACGTATTATAATTCCCCAGGTTTGTCTTGATGCAATCTACCATGATTCCCCTGTGTAAAAATAGGAAACAAACCTAGAAGTATATGTATTTTTTTCAGTATCCTTTTGTACCAGTGCTGCGTGACTAACTGATGAGGCATTCCTTATACTTTGAGGAAGTTACACTCACTACTGTCACAACTTCTTGGCAATGGTCCAGAATTAGTATATTTCCATAAATTAGCAAGTAAAACCTTTTTCCTTGCTGTATTCTTACTCCTTAAATATTCTTCTTCCCTGAATGCATTTCATTTTTAACTACCTTTTCCTTAATTAATTTTGATGGTTGTGGGGCCTGAACTTTGGGCCTGGGCTCTGTCCCTCAGCTCTTCAGCTCAAGGCTAGCGCTCTACCACTTGAGCCACAGCACCACTTTCAGCTTTTTCTGCTTATGTGGTGCTGAGGAATTGAACCCAGGGCATCATGCATACAAGGCAAGCACTCTAACACTGAGCCACCTTCCCAGCCCTCCTCACATTATTTTTTATCATGTTTTCCTTATGTTAGACCTCTACAATATTTACTGAAACAATTCGATAGAAAATATAACTGCCGGGGAGTCTGGGAAGGGATGTGAAGGGTAAACAAAGGAGGAGGCTGCAATGCTTGATAAGAAATGTACTCATTATCTTGCCCATGTAATTGTAACCCCTCTGTACAGTATGTTCACAATAAAAAGAAAAAGAAAAAAAAAGAAAATATAATTGCCATAGTTGTGCTAATTCTTTGGAAGAACAGAGTAAGCAAATCTTAAGTTTTTCCTGTGAGAGAATAAATAGTATTCAAAACTGAAAGAAGATGGAAGGTTAGAAAAACGTGTATAAAATCTTTTGATTTAATACTATATTTGAGAAATGACAAAATTTGTCATAAATCCTATCAGCAAAGCCTCCAGGTTTGGGTTAAACTGCCGCACAGACCATTTCGTACTTTAAATGAATATCTGCGACAGGCTTAAACTGATCTCACATTGAAAGGGGAAAGTTTTAAATATCTGGAATTGATTTGAACAGAAAAATCTAGCTTACATAATGACTGGCCTGTAGCATTTAAAATCAAAGTTGCAATTGTCTTTCCTTCCAGTCTGCACTTACACTCTTAGGTCATGTCTCCTTTTCTATCACTCTCTACTGCCTGACTGATTTCCTATAAAACATACCCTTTCAATGCTTGGTTGATCTTTGGTTTTAGTTTGTAGGGACCTGGAGGCTTATCCCTTCCTCTTGTCATTTAGTTCTGACTCTAATCTTTACTCTGGAACTAGAAGCTGAGAATAGCTCCCAGGCTTATGATCTGTCTGAGTAATTTTCCAGTTTGGAAACCTATTCTTCTTTTCCAATAGAACTTTTATTTATCTTTTAACTTTTAGCTAATTTTAGACTTATGGAAATGTTGCAAAAGTAGTAGAGTAAGCCAGACATTGGTGATTCATGACTGTAATCCTAGCCACTCAGGAGGCTGAGATCTGAGGACTGAGGATTGAAGCCAACCTGGGCAGGAAAGTCCATGAGACTCTTTTCACCAATAAGCTATTCAAAACAGCCAGAAGTAGAAAAAAAAGGCTCAAGAAGAGCACCCATGGCCTGAGTTCAAGCCCTATGACAGGCACAAAAAAACAAAAAAGAAAAAAGTAGTTCAGAGTTTCCATTTATTCCTTACCCAGTTACTAATTATTAGCATTTTATATAACTACAGCATAATGATCAAAACCAGTAAATTAAGATTGGCACAATAATAATACCTAAACACATTTTCCTAACTTTAGTTTTTCGTGTGTGTGTTTTTTTTGGGGGGGGCGATGGGGAGGTCTGGTCGTGGGGCCTGAACTCTGGACCTGGGTACTGTCCCTCAGCTCTTCAGCTCAGGGCTAGCACTCTGCCACTTGAACCACAGCGCCACTTCCTGCTTTTTTCTTTTTGCTTATGTGGTGCTGAGGAGTCGAACCCAGGGCCTCATGCATGCAAGGCAAGCGCTCTACCACTGATCCACCTTTGCAGCCCCTAACTTTAGTTTTTCTATAATGTTTTTTCCTGCCCAGAATTCTATCCAGAACCTCGTATGACATTTAATTTGTTCTTACTCTCCTCTTCTCTGTAAAAGATCTTTGGTAGTTAGTTTTCAGAATTCAGATATTTTCAAATATTGATCAGTTAGTTTAAGGTTTGTCTGGTATTTTCTGATGATCTGTGATTTTTTTTTTTGGTAAGACCACCACAAAAATTGTATTAAGTACTTTTAGTGGAATATAGTAGTATATCATGGGGTTATTGATGTTGGCATATCCTATTATGATTGAGGCAGACCTTGTTTACTTGGTTCAAGTTAAGGATTTGTTATGTTTTCATTACTGTGAAGTTGCTATCATTCTTTTTGCATTTAAAAAGGTACCAGTGGCTCATACCTACACTTTAAGCTATTTAGTAGGCTGAAATCAGAAGGATCATGGTTTGAGGCCTGCTTGGGCAAAAGTTGTAAGGCTCCTTCTCAACCAATAGTTAGGAGTAATGGTACACATCTGTCATCCTAGTTATGTATGAGGCTGAGTTTCTCTTCTAAGATATATATATATATATATATATATATATATATATATATACACATACACAATACAATTGTCCTTCCTCTCTCACTTCTTCTCTCCTTCCTTTTCTCCTCCTCCTCTTTCTTTCTCCTCTCTCTCCTCTTTCTTCTCCCCTCCCTCTCTTGCAGAGTATATTACTCTCTTACCAACAAAACAAAAACTAAAACCACTGGTTTGAAAAGCTCATTTAAAAGTTAGTGTCCTCTTGCTGTTTTGTTAGAGGTGAACGAAGCAAGATTGCTGTGTTATGATTTTGCTTCGACTTCTATAGCACAACTTAGATAACTGAACTACAAAATGTGGTATAATTCCTCTTTCTCTCCCTCCCTCCCTCTTCATAAATGCTAAGGGAAAAATTAAACATGTCCTATCTTCAGGTGCAAATAGTTTTATATTTTGCTTATAGTGGAAATAATTATAAAATTAGACTGTATTTCTAAACTAAGTGCAAAATCAATAATTTCCTAAATTTAGAATATTTTAAAACTTCTGAATAATGACACAGACATAAATTTTAACCAAAGGATGTTTTTGTGCAATATTTAATATAAAAAAAATCTAATCTCTATGTACAAAAGATTAACTTACAGTTTGCTTAAGAGATTACATCATAACCACTCCTTAAGTGGGATAAAGGGTCACATATAATATTTAATAACATTAATATTCTAGTAATTATATAATTGTAACAATATAACTATTAAGTTAAGTATTAATGTTAATACTTACAATACTCAGTGTTTTTCAAATACAGAAAACAAGTATCTTGGGATTCTCTTGATGAGAGAAGGACTAAGATGTAGGGAGACTTAACTGATTGTCTTAGCACTTATTACCATCTGATACATTATATATTAATTTGTTTATTGATCTCCTACCATGAGAACATAGGCTAAATAACACAAAGATTCCTGTTTTATCTCCAGCTCTGGATTATCAGTTCTTTAATACATTCTAAGTAAATAACTGAAAGTGATGCTGGATAATTAACAAAGTAGTTGGAAGAAATATGTGCTTCTGACTCTTACTAGACTAGATATCTCTGAAGAAAGTAGAACTTGACAATATTACAAATGATTTGTAACACAAGATAAGCAAAGAAATTAGAAACAACAGATACTGAGGAAGATTAAGGAGAGGAAGAATGATGAAAACTGAGTTTCTATGAAGTTTATAAAAGAGAAGTTAGATCCTCAGATCTCCATCTCCCAGTCTGCCTAGCCAACTGGCCACTTCCCAACACCCACTGGAAAAAGAATTATATTTACTAGAAAAACCAAATAAGAAAAACTATATTGGAGGATTTAATTTTGAAATAAAAAATTAATTAGGGACAGCAAACATAGGAAGGCAGGGAAACCAGTATAAGGTTGAAAACATGGGTCTTCAATAAAAGTCAGCAAAATGAATGTTGAAATCCAGGTCTTTCCTGCCCAATTCCAAAATGCTGGCATCTAGCCTATATATTCTCTAAGCAAGAGAGTATTCTTTGTTAGGGGATGTGAACAGTACTTATGGACATTGACTTCTGGGTATTTTAAATAATGGAAGGGTCATCTTACTGAATTAAACATACATAAGCTTTGTATCGGTTTTTCAAGGTCTAGCCATTAAGGGAATGCGAATATATGCTTAAAACAAGAACAAGATGCTACAAAAAGGGGAAAACTTCAGAAGAAGAGCTATTGGAAATTAAAGTTATGATAATCAACACAAAATACTTTGTAAAATGGTAAGATAATGTTTAAGCAATCTATCAAAGCTAGGTAAAAAAATAAATCCTCAAACTAAGAGTAAAATTATAGGAAATGAGGGAGAAAAATTAAGAAAACTATAGAGCACAAGTACAGGAAATCTAACATTTGATTAAATAGAAGTTGCAGAAACAGTGAAAGGAAACCATTAATAAATAATACAACAGCATTTTATCGAACTGAAGAATATATCCAGGATTTGTTTTGTACTAACATAATAAATGAAACAAAAAAGACCTAAGAGTAATGGTGATTAAAAGAAGATCCTAAAAACTTCTATAGAGAAAAGGGTATATATAAAGAGTTTTTAGTAAGAACAGTATGACAATTTTTTTTCAGTATGACAATTTTTAATAACAACATTAGAAGCTCAAGACAATGAAGCAATGCCTTCAGAATTCTGAGGGAAGACAACTTTTAGCCTAGAATGATAAATTACGTAAACCGTACAATATGAATATAGCATTGAGATACATTTAGAAATCTTCGGCCTCATAAAAACATATGTATCTTTCTTAGGAAGCTACTAGAAGATGTGTTCTACCAATGGGATAAAATGACAGAATCAGGAACAAAAATGACATGGGAATTTTCACTATAAGCAAAAGATAAGCCTTAAGAGTATCCAGAAAAACAAATTGTTTAAATAGGGATACAGGTGGACCCATTGCAACAATGAGATGTACGAGTTGTTATGTCAAAAATGAACTTCACAACTTTGGTGTGGGGTGGGGAGGGAGGGTGGGGAGGATTAGGTGGGGGGGGCAGGGGGAGGATGGGAAGGGATGGGAAGGGGAAACAAAGGAGGAGGCTACAATGCTTGATAAGAAGTGTACTCATTATCTTGCCCATGTAATTGTAACCCCTCTGTACAGTATTTTCACAATAAAAAAAAAGAAAATAAACTTTAAATAAAGAGAAGAATAATGAGCCAATATTTTGGACTATGATGTAGATTTTTTTCCTTTGAAACTGATTCTTTAATATACATTTTTTACAAAAAAAAGAGTATCCAGAGCACAAGTTAAGCATCATGGAAAGTTCTAGAGTGGAAATCTCTAGGGGGAAAAATGTAAATGAAAAGTGGCACCAATGAAAAGCATTTTATAAAACTATACAAATGGTTAGAAATGACTTAGTCAAAAGCTTGAAGGAAAATGAGTGAATTTTTAAATGAGATATTTCATAAATCTGAGGAAAAACAAAATGTTCAAAAAGGAAATATTTTCCCTTGTTCCAGAGGAAGTGAAACACAATTGCATGGCAGCTAATAGGGATTAAATAAAGGCTCCTGATATATATGTTTCGAGGTAATGGTAGAGGAAAATTAAAAAGATTAACTGTTATCAACTATATTAATCAGAGATAATGTATAAATGGATGAGAAAAGTTACAGCAACATATTAATATTATTTAGAAAAATGGATATAAAAATCAGAGAAGCTACTCTGAGAAAAGGGTATCTGTTCTGTGGAAAAAGATGAATGTGCATGTTAGTTTGAGAAAAATATAAATTTCAAACTCAATCAAACATAAAAATATCATGAAAAGCTAGAAATGACAATTAAAACTTTTTTGGAGACAGTCTTGTTACATATTCTAATCTTTCAGCTTTTGATCCTCATACTTCAGTCCCTTGAGTGTTGGTATTACAGGTATATACCAACATGCCTGGCTTAAAAAAAAAACAACTATTGATTATTTGTATTGTGATCTTTGATAAATCATGTAGCTCTTTCTTTTTTTTTGCTAGGTTATAGGCCTTGAACCCAGGGCCTGGATGCTATCTGTAATCTCTTTTGTTCAAGGCTAGAGCTCTACCACTTTGAACCACAGCTCCACTACTGATTTTTAGTTAATTGGAGGTAAGAGTGTCATGAGAATTTTTCTGCCCGGGCTGGCTTTGAACTGTGGTCTTCAGATCTCAGCCTCATGAGTAGCAAGGATTACAGGCGTGAGCCACTGGTACCCTGCAACCATATAGTTCTTTGAGTCTCAATTTCTTTACCTGTTCATGGGAGTATTTTATTTCTAAGTATTTCCAATTCTAATATTCTTATTCTATCATAGTAACAGCAGAAGAGAAAAAGAGAGAAATTTTTCTTTATGCTGTCATGAATACATGCTTTTTGTTCATTTTGCCCAAGGGTCTTGGTGTTTGACTTGGTGTTAAAATGGAACTAGCATGTCCCCAATTTGGAAATCCTATTATACCTGTGAGGCTAGTCTTCGCATTGCCTCTTCTTGCCGCCTGCGCATTTCTGGAGTACCTGGGCAGCTTCCACTGGTGATAGATGAGTGGGCTGAAGGTGGCTGTGTCAGTGGCAGCTCTCTGTTGGCATCCACATCTGGATTAAAAGAAAATATGTTTGCATCAGATAATCGTAATTCTGAACTAAAAAAGAGTAGATTTCATTTGTATGATGTAGCAACTCCAATTCTAGTTCTATACTCAAGGGAATATATATTTTATGACCACATAAAATCTTGAACAACAATGTTCAAAGAAGCATAATTTATAATAGCAGAAAATGACAACAACTCAAAAGTCTATCAACTAATGACTGATAAATGTGACATCTCTGTACAATGAACTACTACTTCACAATAAAAAGAAATGAGATATCTATCTCTATATGTAACTTAGATGACCCATGAACATATTACCTATTGTTAAACAAAGTCACAAAGATCCACAAAGTATATGATGCTATATATAAGATAGGGAAATTCATAGGGAAATTCATAGAAACAGAAAAATAAATTAAGGCCTTCCTTAATTTATTTCTCTCTACAAGGTTAGAGAGAAAATGGAGATCTATGTTAGGAGGCATGGATTTCTTTTAGTGGCATGAAAGTGTTTTAAAATTACATTATAGTGATTGTTATATAATCTTGTGAATATACTAAAAATCCTAATTGAGCACTTTGTTATTTCAGTTTAGCTTATATATTTTTAGAGATAGGATCTTATTATATTGTCTGGGTAGACATTGAATTCTCAATTCTGTTCTACCTCCTGAGTGCTGAGATTACAAAATATATACCACCATAATGGATCTGAACTGAGTACTTAAAATGGGTGAATTGTAAGGGGTGTAAATTACAGTTCCATAAGATTTTTTTTAGAAACTTAAATTCATTTGTCCTCTTATACATTTCTACTACTAGAAATTATAGGCTGCACTCATGAATAAGATCATACTTTAAAAAAGATCTGAGATTGTTATTTGGTGGCCAATGGCTATTGTACCAGTAAGAGTTGCTATATAACTGATGAAGTAGATTCTTTGGTCACTGAATAGAGTTCTGAATAGCTGCAGAGGGTGAATACAATAGAAAAGTCTAAATGAATTTGTGACATTTGTGTTGAAGTAAAGTTTAGTGATTGTTACTGTATTACTTTTGCTATTCACTCTCTTCCTGACTCCATTTCCTTTTATCTACAATTTTATTTTGTGGGTAACTACTGTCCACATACTCTGCCTTCTAGGTCTTCCCTTTTCAGATTGCCCTCCTTTTTGTTGGGATATCTTGTTTGGTATTCGGAGAACAATAGAGATAAAAGTTAATAGGAAGTAGTCAGTATGCACAGCAAAGTGGCAACTCTTTTGAAAAGAGCAGAGCTGGGATTACTTAACTTGGCAGCTGTTCAGGGACTTGGTAGCACTTAAGAATGGTCAGATCTAGTAACTACACTAGGACTTTTAGCGAGAGGAAATGATAGACTTGTATTAAGCAGAGCCTCCCTAACCACTGCACGGAGTATACCTGTAGTGAATGCAATTATGTTTGAATTATGCAATAAGTCTATTTTCACAAAATGTTTTTGTTCTTTGTGTGTCTTGGTGAGAGGGGGTGCTGTGGCAAAAAAATGATGGGGGAGTCAGAGATAGGAGAGCAGGCAGAAAATAGGATGACAGGATACTGTCTGTCTTGACAGCTTTTCTGTACTTTCCAAGGGAAATGACAAGGAGGGGGCAGACTGAGAGGCTGGCTGTAGAGGAATGAAGCACTGCAGGCTAAATTGCTCACATCTTTTGCAGCAGCACTGCTAAGTGAAGAGGAGGTGAAAGAAAGAACAACAGATGATGTAGAGAGAGAAGTCAAAGAACTTTCCATGTATTATTATTACTACAATGACATCACTGGTATCATTGATCAAGGATTAAGAAATCCAGCGAAGTTCCAAATAAACCTACCCAGTTTAATGTAACTTATTCATTAATTTAAAAAAGTGTGCTGTTTCAAATAATATTTTCAGTGTCAGCTCTTATAGTAGCAGATTTAAGCTGAAAAACAGCTTGCATTCTATCAGTCACTTATTCTTGACTCTTCTTTAAGAACTATTAAGATGGTAGAGGCAGACTAGTTTGAACATAAATAGATTACAACAAAGATTATTTTGTATAAGGCAATACTGGTTCCATGTAATTCTTATAGATACACATTATCTTTTTTGATTTCTTTTCAAGTTTTAAAAGATAGTTAACTATGAAGTCAAATTTATAAACTCAACAATAAAATTAGGACTATCCTACTGTTTCCAGAGATACTCAGTAGAGAGAAGGCAATGGATATTTAAAAACAACTTAATGAACTACTTTTAAAGAATCTTTACTTGGGTACAACACAGTCTTTTTGTCTATAACTTTTTCTTGTCTAGGTTTATGAGGATAGGGGTGTCATTAGGTACTTTTGCTTTCTAAGAAAACAGCTCTCACCCTTGAGATTTATTTTCTGTCATGCATAATTCTACCATTGTTAATAGCAATACTGATATATGAAGGATCAGACAGCATATTAACTATCTGGGCTTTCCTTCCTGTACACTCAAATGACTCATCTCTTAGGGTGATAGACATTTAAGTACCCAAAGAAAAATACTCAAGTATGATTGGAAATTTTTTTTGTCCAACCTTTTAGACATGTTCTTAGAATCAAAATTTAGTAAGAAATGATTTATTTTATTTTTGAGGTATTAAAGAATGAACTCAAGGCTTTGTTCATGATAAGCAAGCTCTCTACCATTGAGATACAACATCTATAGCCCTAGAAGCAATTTTAAGGACAGACTACTCATATTTCTTAATTTTTCAGATAAGAAAATTGAAATATAAAAAAATTATAGGAAATTTCTTAAGACTGTAAAGTACTATATATTCATTTTGAGTGCTGGGGCAGATATACTGAGTTCTTGACTATGTCAATCTAGTTTAGAAGTGTTTTATTTACTAGATATACTATTCCTCCTAAGAATTAACTCATACTATTTTTTTTTTACCATATCCTGGCTATGAGAGTATTTTGATTCAACTAGTTTTATTATTAGACATTAACTTTTCTTCTATATGTGAGGCATTCCTAAGTTTATCAGACATAATTTACCTACTTGATAGAAAGCTATTAATTTCAATAGGAACAAGATGTTTGGAGAGTATTCAGTTAAGTTGCTGTTAAGTTTCTAGACCCTGTGACTACTATAATCTCACATAATAATTTTAAGTGTGTGATAGGCCAGATTTCTAATTTGGACTATTAGAGCAAAATCTTCCTTCTTTGTTCTATGATTATGAACAAAAACCAGGTAGACTGGTTTCCTAGATATAATGAATATAATAAGAACATTTACACATGTTCATTTATTGTCTTTACTTGACTGAATTTCACCAACAAGAAGAGACAGCATAGAAAGATGGATGAAAGCCTGGTTTCTCAAGTTAGAATGCTCAGTTTTGCCATTTTGGCTGTAAAACCTGGAAGTGCATACTTACTAGCTTCTTTAAGCCTCAGATTACTTACATTTTAAATGAAGGCAAAACAAAGCACCTCACGGAGTTGATAATGATTGGATGAGTTAATATTTGTAAAGCACTTAAAAACTGACATATAGTAGGCACGTATGAGTATTTTGCCTTTTTTTTGGGGGGGGGTCCGGTTGTGAGGCCTGAACTCTGGGCCTGGGTGCTGTCCCTCAGCTCTTCAGCTCAAGACTAGCGCTCTACCACTTGAGCCACAGCACCACTTCTGGCTTTTTTCTTTTTGCTTATGTGGTGCTGAG